CCAAAGTTACCAGGGCCCTTGGCCACAGAGAACGGCAGCCCGGTTCGGTTACGAATCGCTGTATTCTCGAATAGACAAGAGTTAAGGATGTCTTCTACTGTGGAGGGTTCCTCTAGACGTTGGGGGCATCTTTCCCCATGCCTTGAGAATACCCTCCCAGGTCTTAGTTGAGGTACGGGTAGTGAAGGGTTTCATTAGTAAAGGGTGTCACACAGCTTCAGGGTTAGATAGTTTCCACTGATTCGCCAGGGAGAATTTGGCCAGAATGATCCAAGGTTGCATTTCATTAGTTGTCAGGGCTCTTACTGGCCATTTTGCCAGTAGTGCCTTATTCTGCATTTCAGGGTCTAGGAGCCCCAGACCACCCGCCTTTTTTTTTTCTGTTATTTTAGACCAACTGACCTTGGACAGAACCTTCTCCCTTTCTGATTCGGTTCAATCGGGTCCTTTGGTCTCGTAAAAAGCGAAGCTGGGTAATGCTCCCAGTATTGGCCGTTATGTGGGGTTGGCCACCTCCGGTGACTTTTTTTGATAATGAGTAACAATGTGGTGTTTTCCAAGAAAAAATAATAATAATAAAAATTCCCTTTTCGTTTTGTTGTTGTTCTTTCGGGCCCAGTGTTCCACAGCAATTCGTCTTCCGACCGCAAACATGCAAAATGAAAATGAATCTTCCTCTAGAACATGGAAAGGTACACAGCCATCGTCGGCCCTATGCTCCTGAGTGTGGTCTCGCTGCACTACTTGATGAGGTCCTCCACTCAGTTTGACCGGGGGCCAGGTCCCACTAACAGGGTTAAGTTTCCTCAACGCCTGAATCTGGACGCATTCGTGGAGATGTGCGGTTGAGAAAACTCAACGCGATTTCTGCACATATCCACAGACACGTCCAGATTCAGGCGTTGAGGAAACTCAACGCTGCTAGTGGGACCTGGCCCGGGTAAGTCCCGTGCTTATCCTTGAACGATAATGGGTCACCCAACTTGAAGTCCTTCGGGGCCCAAGTCCCATTGGCAGCGTTGAGTTTCCTCAACGCCCGAATCTGGACGTGTTTAAGGACTTGTGCAGATATGGCGTCGAGTTTCCTCAACCTTACGTAGCCACAAACACGTCCAGATGCAGGCGTTGAGGAAACTCAACGCTGCCAGTGGGGCTTGGCCCTGGGACATACATTAAAATTGGAGCGATACAGAGAAAGAGAAGATTTTTCAGGCTTGTGACTCCACTGCCGATTCCTCGAAGAATTCCACCAGGTGCCAGGTCCCACTACAATAGCAGCGTAAAACTCAACGCCTGAATCTGGCCGTGTCTGTGCACATGTGCAGAAATCGCGTTGAGTTTTCTCAACCACACATCTCCACGAACACGTCCAGATTCAGGCAGGCGTTGAGGAAACTCAACGCTGCTAGTGGGACCTGGCCCCAGGTCCTGCCGTGTTGGGCGTGCCCTTTGAAGAAACTCCTGCCGCCCTGTGAGAACCCGTAGGGACGGCACGGTCCGCTGGGCGCCCGAAACGTGGACCTTCCCAAGGTCGAGTAATGGATCTACCGAAGAGGGTGTGTTACATGTGTGACAGCCGTTGGGAAGAGGAGGCGTGTGTTTGCCTTGTATTTCAATTTGCAATTGGAGCCTGGCCCCCTGTGTTAAGAAAAAAAAAAAAAAGGGATAATTTGCGAAATAGCCCCATAAGTTGAGATATATGCCAAAATGCCCCTGAAAGATGTGGGTAGAGCGGGATGCCCATTTGGGCCAAAATCTTTGTGTTATGCCCCTGTCAACAGGTGTGCAAATTTGAGATCTGGACCTCACCATTTCGGCATGCATGGCCTTTTGCAACTGGGCCTTAGGACAGTTGCCAAGTTCTGGGTATTTGCACAGTTGGATGGTACCCGGTAGGGGTATATCACAAAGATGAGGGGTTCAACCATAGCGAGGGGTATTTCACAAAGTTTTCATTTTGTCAGAGGGGCATTCCGCTCTACCCACATCTTTCAGGGGCATTTTGGAAAATATCTCCACTTATGGGGGTATTTCGCAAACTTTTCCAAAACAGAAAAAAAGCAGGCGGTGTATTTTCCCATGTTAAAGTGGATGTGATTCCTTCCCACTTCCTTTTTTTTTTTTTTTTTTTTTTACAAAGTCCAGGAAAGTCCAGGGTGTTGTAGAGGCCAGTTTACTAGGCGCACATTCCTTCCCCCTTCCTACCTCCAACCCGGCAGTGCACTCCGACGCCAGTGGAGCCCCTTCACTGTTCGCTGTACCATCCGCAGGAACGCGCCGGCCTGAGAAAATTCAAAATTCTTGGCCAGCGATACCTTCACTGTAGTCCATGGTAGGAAATTGGGAACTCGGGTACTAAGTGGGACTTGCCCCCCCTTAGTACCAATTTCCTACCATGGACTAGAGCATTATACGCTGCTGAGAAGGGGTCCAGCGTCCCATACGAGGGAAAGTTTCCGATAGAGGGAAAACTCGGGCGCTGTCTTGGTTTCAGTTCGTAAAATGCGTTTCTGTCTTTTTTTCTTCTTTTTTTTTTTTTTCGGTGGGTGGGGGGGGAGAACAAGGCTCCAATCTATTGGTGGGGAGCTCTCCAGCGGCCTAGCTCAGTTGGTCAGTTGGTAAGTCACGCAAGTGGCATTCAGGAGGTCGTGGGTTCAATCCCCATTGGCCTCATGGACGTGCCTGGGCATGCTTGGCGCCCGCCACCTAGAGATAGCCCGTTGGTCCCCCCAATTGGCGTTAAAAAGCAGTCTCTGCTGATGTTCATAGGGGGAGGGAGGGATAATCAGGGAGGGAGGCACAGCGACTGGCCACTGAGATGATGCTCGGTCCCTCCGCTACCGGCTGTCCCCTGGGCGGTGTCCCCCCATTGGGGGTTGCCGGAAGGCAATAAATGAAGGCCACCCTGGGCTGAAAAGTCCACCCGATGTCAGATTATTAGACACAATATTGTATTGAATTTACCTGGGCTGGTTAGTCCGATGATAATACCTCAAGGCCATCGCCCTTTAAAAAAATAAAAATAAAAAAAATCGTGCGGAGCAGCACGTGCTGGGAACCGGGCCCAGCGTCCCATATGGAACTTACATCGAATTTTGAAAGTTTGAGATACCGGGGGCTAGGTCCCACTTGCACGGATTAGGAGATTTCGGCCGTTGATCTTCGCTATCGAAGGTCAATGTCGCTTAATTCGTGCAAGTGGGACCTAGCCCGGGGGCTGTCACGATAGATATCTCGCAAATGTTGTTGTGTCAAACCGAGGAAAATTGTGAATGTATACCACCCAGATTTAGGGTCGGGTGGGGGTTGTGTTGTATTCCAGGGATGCCTGAACTGGATTTCAAATTGAAATCCTGACGGCACCCCGGGGCAAGGTCCCACTTGCACGGATTACGAGAATCTGGCCGTGGATCTTTGCTATCTACGGTCAGTGTAAGTGGGACCTAGCCCCCCGTAGTAAATACCCCTTAGACTATGATAAAATTGCAGGTACCCACATCTTCAACTGGAAACTGGAATCAGCCGCCAGATACTCTAATCAGAAGAACTTGTAGTGGGCTTTGCAGTATTTCTACCGATTGCCTGGCTCTGTGCCAGGGTCCACTTTGTGGTCTGTGTGTGTCACCTGAGCTGTGGACGTAATTACGCACAGATACATCCGCCGACGGCCGTATTTACAGTCAGATACATTGAAGAAGGTCGTCGTTTTTAAGAATGCCCTCATTGGATTCCTAGCGTACCAGCAAGGCCCGCCCCGCGGGCCCAGCCCTCACCACCGGTTGCCGTCAGGCCGCCGGGGTACTCTGGGTGGGGCTAAGTCCCACCAGCGCGGGCTCTTTTTTTTTTCATCAGCCGGAGGCCTGGGGTACCCTGGGTGGGGCTACCGCCTTTTTTTTTTTTTTTTTTGCCCCGAACAGATGCAGAAATCCCTTTGCTAGTGGGACCACGACCCTGAGGTTAAAAACGAAACAAAGAAAGAAAAAGGAAAAAAAGAAGCTTTCGCCGAATCATCACATGGCATGAAGTCTCTGTCCGCACAAGCAAAAGACACAGTCCTTTGCTCCCCTCCCTCCCCTCCTCCTCTACCTCCCTTCCCACCCCTACCCCTCCACCTCGCCTCTCTCTCGTCGGGGCAAAGAAAGAAATCCCGGCCCCTGTTTCCGTTGATTTGAGCAATTAAGTTGGTTGGTTCTCCAAAAAAAAAAAAAAAAAAAAAAAAAAAAAAGAAAGAAAGAAAGAAAGAAATCGTAACATTGAATTCAATGAATTGAAGTCCTTAGTTTGGATAAAATCAACAGCTCAACGGAAATCCGTTGGACCTCTACCTGTCTACGGAGAAACGCCATTATTATTATATCCTAGATTCCTAATGCTCATGTCACTTATGATGCTACACTTGGCCTGCATTTGGACGGAACGAAGTTTATCAACAGGAGAGCGGTTGCTTTTTGCATTTCCTCCAGAGGAGAGACTCCTCTCTCTCTCTCTCTCTCTCTCTCTCTCTCTCTCTCTCTCTCTCTCTCTCTCTCTCTCTCTCTCTCTCTCTCTGTGTGTCTGCTCGCTCGCTGCCCGCGTATGCATATGCCCTTGAAGCTCAGGCGTGATGATGCCAGTGAATGGGTTCGCGCGGATTGCTGGCTGTAGATCTGGGTAATCTGTGGTTGGAAACGATTGATTTTTTTAATATTTTTGTTTGGAAACGAATAATTGGGCTCCGTGATCCCACGCTTTGTTTTTTTTTTTCACGTTACCGCCGTTCCTAATGCGGGCGTTATGCTATATCCGCAGCGGCATTGGATTAGATGAGATATCGTTGCACCATCCATATTTTCTTCGAGAACCAAAAAAAAGAAAAGAAAAGAAAAAATAATAATAAAAAAATCCCGGACTGAAATAGAAGTGAAGTCAGGGGAGAAACATTCCAAAACTACCGTAACGAGGAATGATGTCGAATGCAAATGTTCCGCATTGTGCAGAAATAGACGCTGTAAACGCAATAAGCACAAATAGTGAAAAAATCTATATTAAATGTTAAAGGGAAACGCCGCCGCTATAAATATCCATTTCAGTTTTCTTCACTTTTTTTTTTTTTTTCCTTTTTTTTTTTCGGTGATGTTCTTCCTTTTTCTTTTCCCCTTCCTTTTTTTTGTCCTTTTCGTTCGGGTGGCTGTGATCCATGATAAGTTACAGCAACTGTAACTAGGAATACAAATACCAAA